TATGCGATTTAATTAAGTTTTTTAAAAATGAATGCTTGAGATACCGAAAAGAGGTTTGCTCCAGCGGTACCATGTACTCCGTCATTTCCGTTGGAATTCAGAGGGGATTTTGGCGGCACTCCCCGAGTAGATGGTCAATTATGAAATTAAGAAATAATAGCCGCTGTTGCATCGTCAATTCAGGCAAATTCAAGAGTTTCGACTAGCAACTTATCGGCGCAACTTGGAGTTAGCAGACGGTCATTATATTTATATCTAATGAGGCCCATTTTGATCTAAACGGAAATGTAAACAAGCAAAACTGCCTTATGTGGAGCGAATCAAATTCAGAAATAATTCACGAGACGGAACTTCACCCAGAACAAAACCAAGAAATCTGACTGAAACTGTCTATTAAATCGATAATTGAGGCAATCTCGACTTCAACCCTTCAGGCCGCAATTAATAATTTTCCAATTAGTTATTGCATATGCGTGGTTGAGCATGAAGGTCATTTACGATCCATAATTTTTAAAAATAATTAGTTCTAAAAAATAAAATAAAATTTGCTATACAATGAAAATTCAATGTAATGTATTGATTAAAAAAAAGTTATTACGGTTTGTTTTTGTAGCACAATTCGTGAGCCACCCTATAATACACCTATAATTAAGTGTATGTGCATTTATCAATCTGTATAAATATTTTCGAGAATTGAAGAGATAAGTACCATTAAAGTTTATCTTACATTGAACTTGAAATAGTCACATTTCAGAGTTGCTACATCCGTACTTAGAAAGCTATATGATTGTTTATTTAGTTACTAAGGCATTTTTAAAAGGTACTAAAGGGTGTCTGGTGTAATAGGGTATTTAAAAGTATTTTGCCATATGCACTCTTTAATTGATTTTGTTGAATTAGTCAGACACAATCGCTGATAAATATACTCATACTAACAAACTTATCTCATTTTGTGCGTCTGAAACAACAAATTTACCTATTATTTGTAATAAGCTGAAAAACTGGGGGGTTTCCTGTTATTGCAATGCAAAATCTGATACTCATTTACTTGCAAGTCAACGTGACTTGCTAAGTTCGTTGGTTGAGAACAGGCTTTTTAATTTGTTGAAAGGAGTTTTCCTCGGATACCAACGTTGCCTCCTTCGCTTATAGAATATTATTATAGATTAAATATGACATTCGGACATCTGTAATCACAAACATAATTTCAAAAATGACGGGCTTTTCGAGAAAGTCGAATTTGCACGTTTTTGTTGAGTTATCCTTTGAATTAACTACTAAATAGTGATGCGAGCCGGATATGCATTATAAATGGCGATGTATGCAGAAAGTGCAAGGAAGTAGGTATGAAAGAAACGGTGGAACAACTCCTATGCTTCAGCCCAGCTTTATCTAGAACTCATCTTAGATATCTAGGAGCTTTGATGTTCAAGGAACTTCAAGGGACAATGAAGTATCAAAAATAGTTACCAAGCCACTCTTAAAGTTTGAAAAAGGCGTTGACGTCTTCTATGACAAATACTTTAGCCCAAATTATTATTAGATACAGCTTTTATTTATTATTTCGACTATATTATAATATTACAGCCATGATATGATATCACTGACTATTCTATTACCTTAATACTGTATACACCTCAAAAATTTCTCAAAACCCTTCATTTGGCACCATATGGTAGGCTAAGTTACCATATTAGAGCAGTTTTATAAATTTTATTGTATTCAAAATCCCAAACTGATGGCAACCTCTGTCACACATACTTTTAACTATAAGCTTTCTTAAATCTCTTCTTGGCAACACTCGTGAAATTTCTATAATAAGCTTTAAATCTTTCTTAACCCTTAGTTTTAGACCTAATTTGTAAATATACCCTGCACAGGGTCTGTATTTATGCTAACTGAAAACTGCTTATTTACGGAAACTAACGATACCGGACCAATCGATCAAAATGAAAGAATTTTTTTCATTATTAAGTGAACTTAAAAACCTAGAAACAACCAGCAACACGTTTTCCGTGGGATGCAAACCATTAGTCGGTCTGATTTTCAGCTTTAGTTAAGTTTACATAAATGCTGAGTCATAGTATCATACGCTGCTAATATTTTATATTTGAACACTTCAAACAAAACAACGAAATACGGCAAATCTAGATTACCTCCATTATAACTTTTTGCAACATATACTTTTCAAAACTTAATTTGATGAGAAATATAATGACGTAAATATTTAAATTGAAGCGTTTGAATAAAAATAAATAAAATAACTTTTGGTAAACAATAAACGAGATGTTTTTTAATTTTGCAAGAATATATGCGGTTAATTGAGCATTTATAATAAATAAGCACACATACAGTTGACTCGTGATAGCCATAACTTAATTTTATATTTCGTATAAATTTAAAACTTGGCCTTTAGTTAAAGTTTACTCGAAACCAAATCTAAGCTATAAACCAAACTATATATATAACTAGTGGGAATTACTTACTCCTGCGTCATCGAGATATATTTCACAATAAATATTTATGTGCACAATATCCCAAAAGTATTTTTTAAGCTTGACATACATATGTGGCTATATGACAACCTTGGCCACACTGCATTATTCTGCTCTTAAAATGGGATTAATGGAAAATGTATTTTAAAACTGTGGCAGCCTAAAATTTTTGTACAAAGTACATGTTTGCAAATTTTTGTTTTAAGAAAAAATAATTTGTAATCTAAGTGTTTTTAAACGTATATGTATACATATACCTCATATACCTCAACAAGACTTTTACATATTTATATTGGGTGTATGCATTAATTCGTGCGGTTTTTTTACGAAAATTAAGACTTTATTGTGAAAAAATTGTTATACACGTATTGCCCATCGGAAGCTATGATGTTTGCCCATCTTTCTGGCAGTTTGTGGATCCCATCCCAAAAGAACTTCTCCGGCTTGGAGGTCAAGAAAGAATCAATCCAATTTCTGATACCCTGTTCTGAAGAGAAGCGTACTCCGGTGAGGGCATTCTGCATTGATCTGAACAATAGAATGAGTGTACAAAAACTCGCACAGGAAATCAAAACTAACTATAACCGTTAGAAACCAAGTCTTTCGGGTCTTTCAACTTGTTTTAGTTAGCCAGCGTGTGCTGTAAAAATCAAAAAAGCGTACTTGTCTACTTATCAGTAGAAATTTATGCTAAAAACATACAAAATATTGTATTTAGCGAGAAACAGCAATTTTTTTGCTGAAATAAACAAGCAATTTATTGACTTATTAAAAATAATGTTTTATGGCTATACACATAAAAGAAATATGTTGTTAAAAATGCGTTTCATGCTGCAAACAAAAGAAAAGGTTTTAACAAATTTTATCATTTATGGCATGAATCAGTAAATTTATTTTTGTCAAAAACTGGTTGTTAATATGTATATTTTCAGCAAAAAAGAATTAATTTTGTGTGAAACGAATTGTGGCGGAAATGAAATTTCTCGCGGTGGGTCGTACCATTGAACACAATTAAAAGAAAGGTTACTGTGTAACTATTAACTATATGCCATATATATTATAAATATTAAAGATTTTACAAATCAAACAAAAAAAGTTTAGGTTCATTGTTTCGATCAATATTTTGCATTTTTTTTTGTGATCACTGTTGTGTCATACATAAACTGCTGAGCTTATTGATAATAGTTTTTATGCACATCAATGATTTTTCAAATTCTTTAAATTTGATATCAATATTGTAGTTTGGAATTGAAAGGCTTGGCAACTCTTTTCAAAAATATTTCGTTCATACATATTTTTTAACCCCATTGAGTGGTGTCTTATTTGAAAATTTTCATTTATTTTGGTGTTTAAGTGAATAAAAAAAAAATGCAAACAAATGGCAACTCTTTTAAAAATATATTTAACTTACATAACGCTCTTTAGATTGTTATCCTTATTGTAGCATTATATTCATTTAAACAATTTAGTTGTTAAAAGAATTTAAAAAGGTGATAACTTTGTCACAAAAATATTTTGAACAGTAAACTTTCTCCAACCTGTTTACTTTGATGCGACTATTTTGATACTTCTTACATTTATGGTATTAATTTTTTTCATTTACAATATCTATTTTAAATAGGTGGCTTTATTCTTCAATGAATACTGTCAGTAGTTAAGATTTTTAACACACTTCGAAAAGTAACCCATACTTTAATACTTCAAAATTTTACCAGTCTCATTACATTTTCTAAGTAAGTTACAGCTTTCTTCAGAAAAAAAGATTCAACTTTAAGTTTTCGAGGATCTCTTTATTTTGATACTGCTGTATTATTAATTTATATAATTATCAATTAATTTTACACAGTTACATTTTTATACTGGTGGCTACCCTAAATATATGTTTAACTGTAACCTTTCGAAAAACTATTTAGTTGGATATTAATATTTTCGTAATTTTCACTATATTATTAGTAACAAATTTCATGCAATTATATTTAAGTAGAGGTGGCAACCCTCCACACAAAATTGTTCAGCTATAAACTTTCACAGTTTTTTTTCCATATTTCAATAATAATTTTAAATTTGAATAGTCTCATTAAATTACAATTTCGAAAAAGGTGGCAGCTTTCATCGAAAAATATTTCCAGCTTTTAACCTTGTTCAGTTCAGTTGCAGTTTGACATTTTTTTAAACACTTTGAAATAAATTTCTAGACAGTCAGTACCGCCTTTGCATAATTTTGAATATATGTATATAAGTATATAAAAAAAATTTAAATCCATGTTAAAACGGTGATAGTTACTATTATACCAGTTGAGGAATAAATAGAATTACTAACTTATTGCTAAGTTAAAGACAGATTATAAAATAAAATGTTTCACCTTAAAAGTATTCTAGTCTAGTATAAAATATGTCAAAGTTTTACTTATTGTTAAATGCTAATTTTTGTGTTCTAGAATTCAATATATTTTTAGCATATGCAGTTATAACGTAAAAATTTGTACACATTTCCGCTTTACTTACGGTAAATCTCAACTTTTCAACTTTTACTCAATAGCTTTTAGCTTACACAATAACTTTATTTTGCATTTTTATTTCACTCATTTCAGCTCTTCACATCGCAAATGAAATTTCCTCACTTGCACACGTGAAAATTTGCCAGCGGCGAGCTAACAATGTTTCTACTAATAACAACAACTGCAGTACACGTGACAATTAAACCTAATATATCCTGTTGCGCTTTTTGAATTAGCATCAAAAAATTTATATGAATACACGATTACGTTGATGCTTCACTTAATTCAAGGCGCTACCGTTACAGTCGCTCGCCCGCTCATTTGCACACATGTGCTTTGCCCACGCGATCGCTTGCAACTGAACTACATGTCGGCTGCAATCTTTATTCGTTGCATAGCATCTGGGAGATTTTTTTACGCTCGACTAGTTTGTAACGTGCGATTTTTTCGCATCTAAACTTTTGCTCGGCAATTTTTGAGTTGTCTTTGCAGGTCGATCATGCAGCGGTGGTGCCTTCAAAGCCCAATTATTTCAAATGATCGCCGCGCTCTGGATCATTGTCATTCAACGTTGCGCTCTCCATACCCCACTCAATCTCCCTCTCTCTCTTTATCGCTCCAACATGGGATGTGTGAGCTGCCTCGCCGTCTCCCCAAATCGCGTGTTGACTGTATTGCCGCTTCCGTAATTGTTTGTTTACCAACATGTTGGAGATGTTGTAGCATTTGGCAGTTCGATAGTTCGTGTGCTTTGTATGATTTTGTGTGTTCGTTTATCGGATCGCTGCGTTTGAACCTTTTAACAGTCTGCTGAATTGCTTATATGTATATTATTTGTTGCAGGTAAACATTTTTGTTTAATTATTTTTTACGTTTTTAGTTAAAACTCAGCCAGCCGCTTTAGTAATACATATGTATGTATAAGTATGCCTGGTTGTGTAACGGTCGTAATGTAATGTTATATCAGATGTGTAAAAATCACTAAAAATCAATATTTTCGAAGACATGCAGAAGCATAAGTATGTATATTGAATTTTCCGTGCAAAAAGTGCTCACAAAGCGGATGGGTTGGGTAATAAACGTTTGTATAGTTACATTTTTTTTGTCGATGGGTTGCCAGTAACTACCATGCATTCAATACAGGTTCGTTTGGACTTATACAAGGCTGAAATAACTTAATATAATTTTACTAAAGCTTGACAGAGGATAGTCTCCGCCTAAGTGGCCTTCTTGCGAACTTTCTGGAGCAAAATCAGAAAAGCTGACTGAGCAGGGACTTGTGTTTTTAATTGACCAAAATCATAGACTTATATTCATAGCGATTATAATATCGACATCCATTTGACCCAAAGTACAATGAAAGAGGTTCATTTAACAATTTGCTTACAACAAGATTCACATTGTTGTAGTGGTGGGGGTTTTAACACCATAATGTGCTACTACATCAATTATCAGATGTGTCCAACAAAAAGCAACGTACAAATATCTCAACACTTACTCTTCGAACGAAACGAAAAAAGCTACCTCAACCGATTTATCATAGGCTCAAAGCGCTTCCTCGGTTCATGGGCCTATTGTTGAATGACTAGTAGTTTTTTGGCACCACAAAGGACCACAAACGCCGCAAATATTTAAAATATCGGATATATACCATATAGCGTCTACTAATAGTGATGACGTGAATTTGACAGCTCATGACGGCCATTTTTGTTTACGGATTTGTGTCAAATTTTCAGTGTGTATAGTAATGTTAGCCATTTCATCATATCACGCTTTACTTTGTTACAACGCAAATTCTATTTCTTATATAGACATTTGATGTACTTAGATCAAAATGTGACTCATAGGAATCTAAATGTTTACACTCGAACCAATTTGTTGTTTCCTGGAATTAAATTTCGCAATAACAAACACAAATGATTACAGAAAGCAAATTTTGAATATTGGAATATACTTAGTTGCCACCCATTGATAAAATCAAACTTTTATTACATAAAATGTGTCAAAACATAACCCCCTATGTAAACTTTCGATCAAGTATTCGAAGGACATTTATTAAGGATATATATTAAAATAGAGTTGCCAACTTTCGAAAAAATAAAACTGCAAATACTACAAAATATCCATAAATGTAGGGCTTTACTCAAAAATCCGCTTTATTAGGGTATAATTTCATTATATTTTCGTATGGAGTTGCCACCTTTAAAAAAAATTAAACCAAAAATATTACGAAAACTTGCCAAACATAAGGTGAAGGTATTAGGCATTACGGAATTAACTCTGTAGCCTCATTACCGTAAAATAGAGTTGCCACTTTAAATAAAATAATAAAAACTAAGAATCTTGTTTTCTTGCCATTTACAATTTGTTTTGTTTAATTTAATTAGCTTGTTTTATTTCTTAACACTAAAAATCTTTATCGTTAATATTACAAGTTGAAAACCACAAAATAAGTTAGAAAGTCCTTTAAATTATTTCGTCACTTTAGATCAATTTTAAATTGGATTGAAATCATAATTTAAAAATAAAGCGTGTGATAATAAAACCTGAGAAGGAGAAATAAATGTAAGCTGAATAAATTAAAATCCAATTTTGACGACAGCAGTTTGAGGATAAATTCAATTATTCGCTAACCACCTAACCTAAAAAATGGCAAACACTTATTTCGTATCATTCACTTTTGCCATGTGTCAGTCATTCATTTAACTGTATGCATTAGTGTGTAACTGTAATGGCAAAAACGTCAATCAATCAAAACTAAAACGCTCACAATAGGCAAATGCGCTTTTGTCTGACCGATTTTGTTTTTAGCGAGAAAGCAAAATAAAATTATTGTTGCCACCAAATACATTTAAAATAACGGACAAAATTCAAACTGCCGTAAAATGAATTTTATTTGATTATACTCTCCGAACCAAACCCTTGAAAAATAGATGAAATAAATGCGATTTATAATTTTGCCTCTTGTATTGTTTACATACCGAAATCCACACTGACAGCTCCGTTATCAACTTCATCATTTATGTAAAGAGGGCTGACTTTTAAGCGATTCTTGTGGGCGACCCAAATCAATCTTTAAAGGCAAATAATTCAACTGCCTGCATACCATACCCACCAAAAAGTAGAATAAACACGTTTCTAATATTTATGTGTTTGCTTTTGTAAAAGTGTCCTCTTTGTAAAAAGTGAATTTTTTAGTAAACTAAAAGAACTCATTTGCATAACATAAAGTGACACAAGAATTCAATTTCACATGTTTTAATGCAAAAAAATGCTTTGTGTGTGAAAAATACAGTGCAGCGCAATATAATAGATAATAGAGCTTTTTTAAGTGCGTCAAAACTTATGTACATATTTAACATATAATCGCTTAAATTAAATATATAGTGTCTTGAAAAGTTTATATAAATGAAAATACATACATACATACAGTTCTGTAGCTTATTGATTATGACAGGAAAGGGAAACCTTTAATATAATCAACATTTTGGACATTTAAGATTTGACTTCAATCAAACTTTTTAGAGATGCATCAGTTTTCAAATACTTTAGCTACATAACTATAAAAAATAATATATATTTCTTTACGGGTTTTTATATATCTTTAGTGCATAAGTCTTTAAACTCAAATATCGGTCGGTATTAATAAGCTCAAAATTGTTTATGCCTAATTAATTGTAATCATGGATTTCATATCGCTTAACTAATTCGTACAAATTTTTAGGCGCTGGGAGGAAGAGCTTATAGAATATAAAACAGTTTGAGGTGCAATGTTATAGTTCATAGAAAAAATATTGAAATTGGTTCTCTACCTAAGAACTTGGTAACGGTTATTTGTATCACCTAAAATTAATCGAGATAGATATAAAGTTATGTATATATAAAAGATCAGGAATAAATCGCCTTTTTTCCGAAACATTAATTTTTCCTGTATAGGTTACGTACTATTCTGAAAGCCCTCGTGTATAGCGCTAGTATTCTTAAGTCAAATTTAAGCGGAATTGATGTTAGATATTATTTCAGTTATTAATAAATATTTATAATATTTAATTGAAGTTTCTTTTTAATATTTTCCATTACTCCATTCCCAGTTTTTATACGCAAGACAGCTGTTTTCTTACTAATTGTATTAATGTGTATATATCTCTGTAAATATATATTCTAGCTTAGTATAATCCGAGTCACTCCTTATTCACACTCTCATATTACATGACAATTTATCCCTAGTCCACTTAAAGGCCTAAGAAACTCATTACTCATTTCGTTTTAAGCATTTTTCTTTCGTGATCAGTCAGCCTTGCTTTTTATCGCTCATCTGCCTAGCTTTTTGCTTAGTATCGCTTAAGCGTATATTAACTTAATTTGTTTATAAGTGAGCGCAAATCTCTGCGACGACAGCATACCGTTAGTTGTTTCGGCCAGCTCATCACTTTCTCTCAAATGTTTGCTTTATTTTTTTGCTTGCGACTCACATGCGTGTACGCTTTTACGTATGTGTGTGTTTGTGTGAGTGTACATCAACATACTGTTTGGCGCACAGTTGGGACGCCATTTTTTCGTGCTTGTTGCAATGTGCTTTGCTTTGATGTTTTTATTTTTGGTATTTTCGCTTTTACTTCACAATTTTTTAACCGTGTCTATTTCGTTTGCATATAACAACTGGTATGTATGTGTGTCTTTTGTCCGATTTTTAGTCAGCGATTCTACAATTTAATTTGGTGTAAGAGTTAGCGAACCATATTTTGCTTGATCTAAAGCATATATCGCTATTTTCTAGTGGATCTTTTCTGTGATTGCCGACGTTGCCATAAATTTTGGGTCGAGTTAACATTGGACAATTTGGGTAAACGGGTTTTGTTACACTTTTACTCGCTTTCATTATATTTTGCTGCATACTTTTTTGTGTAAGTTTCATTATCCCAATTTTATTTTTGGTATTTACGATTCCGTTTCATTTGTTTGTTGTTGTTTTTATTTTAAATTTTCACAGTTTCATTTGGTTATGTAATTTGCCTCTAAATGTAATCCCCTTGGTACATATAACCGTTGCGTTTGTTTAACGAAGCGAATCAACACGAAGTTATTGTGATAATTTCGACAATGCCATTCATTCCACATTTTATGCGTTTCAAGCTAGCGTTATGCTTTGTCATGCTCATTATGTAGCACTACAGTCGCTGTGGTATCCTGTTTTAACCGCTATGGGCCTTAATGATTATTTGCTTGAGCGTGAAATGGATTAAAAGTGTCTCAATCGTATCCGCTTTTTGGGGTAAAAGTTTGTATGTATCCATGGCACAGCGCACACTTGAGGGAAATGAGAATTTGGAAGAAGAATCCCTATTGATTTACAACTGTCACTACCGAGAAGAATTAAACAGGGGTTCTCCAGGGTGGTGTCTTCTCCCCGGTACTGTTTAACTTCTATATTTCGAAACTCCCTCAACCACCAGAGGAAATTCCCATCCCCTCATACACAGGTTATTGTAAAATATTGACGTCAGAATTCGTACGCAACAAGGTTTAGACACGTACTGACTGCCGTTCTCAGTGGAGCCATCAACACTTCACCGACTCTCTTCGAGTGAATGGCGTACATTCCAGTTGAAGAGTTTGAGTTGCGCCAAAAAATTTAGAATGACCCTGTCGCAACTTCGTTCTGAATATAGTAGTAGGTTAAACTCCTAGGTAGGAGACAGGAAGTAGTCAGACAGAACCACCTCTTTGCATGCCCAGCGAACCCCACTCATCTAACACTCTTGTTTGCCTTTACATTTGCCGTGTTCAAATCGAGAAAATAT